GGATCATGCATCTCTCAAGGCGTTGCTACATCGAAAGGATCTCACCGGAAGGCTAGCCAAGTATCAGATTGTGCTTCGGGAGTGTTACCATCATATACCGACCTGGAAAGAAGAACGCTGTTTCCGATGCGTTATCTCGGCATTTACCAACGAATGCCATTACGAGTGTCACCATGGACAACCTGCAACTGGACACTGTACGTCAGGAGCAAGACGAGTGTGAATGGCTTGCGAGATTGAAGGCAATGTTAGCAAACAACGAGGAGACGACGGAATTATCCAACTACCTCCTTATAAACAACATCCTGTATAGGCTACCAAATCGCCTCTATCAAGATCCACAGCTAGTATTACCGGAAACATCTCGCATCAAACAGGACATCATCGCCTTGGCACATCAATCACAAATGGCGTCAGCGCACTTAGGAATCAACAAGACACACGTAGCCGTTGAGAAGATTGCTATCTGGAATTGCATGCGGAAAGATATCGCACGATTCATCGGCGCATGCCAACTCTGCCAGGCAAGGGACCTACGGCTTACAAGACGAGAGAACCACTCCACTTCCTAGAAGTATCTACGAGACCATGGAAACGAGTACACTCTGGTACAATCGGCCCTCTGCCGCTGACGTGAGATGGAATCAAGTATATAATTGTTTTTATAGACTCGTTTTCCAAGTATATAGTAGCGGAACCAATACCCGATCAGAAGGCCGACACTACAGCTCGCATATTTATCGCTCGCTTCGTAGCCAGATCTGGATTACCGGAAACTCTCGTGACGGACCAAGGAACAAACTACATGAGTGAAATGTTTCGCAACCTTTTGCGCAGTCTACATGTCACCCACCATATGAGTACACCGTATCACCATCAATCAAACGGACAGGTCGAACGCGTCAATCGGACTTTGGAAGAACAAATTGCGATTGCCACTCGCCAACGCAATGATGAATGGGATCACGTTCTCCATCTCATAGTACTCGCCTGTAATAGCATGGAGAATGCGTCGACGAAATTTTCACCCTTTTTCCTTATTCACGGACGAGAACCTACTAACATCTTTCACTTTGCATTGCAGTTGCCAACAAAGAAGTACGCCGATCCTGATGATTACGTGAACCATCTCACCAATACCCTAAAAGACATTCATCAGCAGGTCTATGGAAATCTCATAGAAGCTCAGAAACGACAAAAACATCACTACGACTTGAGGAAGAAGACGGTAAAAAAGGACTATCAGATCGGGAAGAAGGTTTGGATAAGGAAGGACGGCGTGCACAAGCTCGCAACGAAACTCGAAGGACCATTTTCAATCATCGACATCGAACTACCCAACATTACCATCTTTGATGGAAAACGTAAAAGAGTCATTCACGTCGATCGCACCAAGCTACATAGAGATATGGACAACACCCAAGAAGTCACCAAATAAGGAAGAAAAGAGGAAAATGGAAACAGACAAAGCCCCAACAACCATTTAACCCTTCTTTGTGATAATCTGTTGTATTTGTATAACCATGTAATCTCTACTTTTGATAAATTTCGTTGTAGTTGCATTGTTCTCCTTTTTCCAGATCCCCTCTATGATGTACTATCGATCAAGGAATTCACTCAGGATATATGGATGATACGAAACTTAAGCCAATGGAATATAGACCTCTACCTGACTTTCGACTAAGGCATGGAAATTGAAAACGAAGGCAGCTTCTCAACTTAGTTGTCACGGAGACGTCCATGGCAAGAATTTCTCGGCAACGACAAGAGCGATTATCGGATTCTTAGTTACATAAATGGCAGTTATTCAATGGATTCTACATTATCTTCCAGAAACCGGCCGGCAGAAGTTATGGAAGTACAAAAACCGCGGTCATCTATAACAAGAAAATGGTTGCGCGATGTACCCACGAGTGCGGATACTAAGGAAACTCATAGGAGGCAAATGGCACTTAAATTCGAAATTGGAGATGAAGAATCGCGTCGAAGATACCCGACTGCGCAACCATTCCATTTGACCTCGCGACGCGAGTCCGCACAAGACGACATATGGTTATAGATGGAGATATTTGATGATATGAATGTGCACACAAATAGAAAGTAGATATACGATATTCGTCAGAGAAATAGCCGAGGGAAGACAAGGCCGGAAGCATACGTCCAACAACTCTTCAATCAACACTTTCGGAGTCAACGTACTCTACCGATGACGAGGATGGAGGTTGCGGGACGCAACCTTTCAATACCCCGCGGATGTAGGGTAACTTTCGATTATGCACGAAACGCTTTTGATCGTACTTGGAAGCCTCGATCATGCGCCCGACTGTAAAGGAGGAAAAACTAATTGCTTCTTAGAAGTTGTAGTAACAATGGTACCGGAAGGAAGGAAGAAGTGGCTTCCAGAGATTACTCATGCCTCTGTTAGACAATTAATGGCGGACGACAGAAAGGAAATTTGGAGAAGAGAAGTAAAAGAACTTGTAGCGCCCGGTCGCCCGGTAAAGCAGTATATAAGCACCACAGAATTTGTTGTATCAGAGTAGTATAGTATAAGCTTTGTCTTTGCTTGTTACTTCTTATTTCCTCCTCTTTCCTCATGGGGGCCTCCTCTTCGGAGGCCCGTCAGTCGCCCTTGTGACCTCTTTGTTCCTATGAACAATCCTTTTACTTTCATTTCGCGTGTTATCTGTAATTTTCACTATCTTGATTGATTTTGTCTATGACGCAAGGTCATAGAGCGGGGATGAGTTATGTAGTGAGATCGTGTATGTGTTCTCTGAGCTGGGAATAAATGGTTGTTGGGAGACGGTGCAGATGCAGATATATTGGCGGCGTTTCAACATGGCTAGATCCCGACTAGTTATTTATGGCGTTCTAGTTCGGTAGTACAAGAAACCAAGATTGCAACATTTTATTGTCATTGGGACTTTCTCCGGCCACGCCTCGGGACTGCGACATGAAAATTTATGATAATGGGTTAAGGCTGAATGATATAGACTATAGCGAAAATAGAGACCCCGCTGCACGATGAATAATATATCAGCCTTACAACAACACAGCAGATTAATTTAACAGCTGACTGAAGATGCTCTACCTTCTTGGTATATCTCAGGTTGTTATCAGCCATACCGACTCAAGCACAGGTATTGATGTTCTCATATAGGGGCCTGCAGGATCGCGAGAGTCGGACGCGCGTACGTACGTCCTTTGCGCCGCGCACGCCTGATATCGCTGAGTCGTAGTCGATTAAGGCTAGACAGGTAAGTTTTTTTTGTTTTTCTGCTACTATTCCACATACTAAGTTGACCCAAAAAATGAAAATCGTGAATTTCGCTAAAACTCCATTTAGGGGGGTTATTCGGTACGCTGAACACGAATACGATGTTTATTTCGCCCGGTAGCGCCATACGGTGGAGTTACGGTAGGATTACGGTAGGGAGTCAAGATCACGAATTCGCCCAAAACTTGGCCCAGAGGGGTTATTCGGCCCGCTGATGCCAAATATCACATTGGTTTTGAACCGTAGCGTCATTTTCTCGGGTTACGGTTACGGTAGCTACACGGTAACGGATGTAAAACATAGTCCTGCCTGAAACGGGTGTACGGCGATTCGGACGATCGTGAAGCTTTGCACACACGACCACTACCGCGCGCTACACACCCTGCTGCAGCTTTTGCCTAAGCAAAGCACAGGGGAAGGTTACATTTGCCGATTTGTGATTTTGACTCCTACCGTGAAGCTACCGTAACCATGCAGGGAGACGTTTTCGTGCGGAGAAAGTGTGACACTTCTAATCAGCATGTCGAATAACCCCTCTGTGCGAAGTTACAGCGGATTTTCGACCCCCTACCGTATACCCACCGTAACCCAAGAATATGACGCTACGGTACAAAACCAATGTGGTAATCGGCATCAGCGGGCCGAATAACCCCTCTGGGCCAAGTTTCGGGCGAATTCGTGATCTTGACTCCCTACCGTAATCCTACCGTAACTCCACCGTATGGCGCTACCGGGCGAAATAAACATCGTATTCGTGCTCAGCGTACCAAATAGCCCCCCTAGACGAAGTTTTAGCGAAATTCACGATTTTTATTTTTTGGGTCAACTTATGTGGAATAGCGCCGTTTTTCTTTACATTTCACGCCTTCTTTTCTTTTCAGACGGTGAGCACATGTTGGTGCGGAGGAGTTTAAGATCTGAATTAAGGTGAGGTGCAGAATTATGCTCAATACGGACTCAATATTGCAGACCTTCCATGCCTGCTGGTTGAGATGTTGGATTTTCTATCCTGGCTGCCCTGTTACAGCGAACTGTTCTATTCCTACCGTCTATTCTACCTTACCTTGCATATTGCTTGTGATGATGATGATGATGATGATGATGACAATGGTTATGATTGTGATGACGCGCATGATGTAAGATGAGGTAGAACAGACGTTGCAAATAAAACGGAGTTTCGTAACCGGGCAGGCAGGACGAAAAATCGAACATAATCGGACAGCCAGAACAGAAAACTCAACATTCTTCAAAGCAGGGGTGAAAAGTCCACAATATTGGCCCGTATTGAGCATAATCCTGCACCTCACCTTAATCTAAATCTTAAACTCCTCTGCACCAACATATGTTCGCCGCCTGAAAAGAAAAGAAGGCGAGAAATGAGAAGAAAAACAAAAAAATCTCACCTATCCAGCCTAAATCGAGTACGACCCAGTGACATACGACGTGCGCGGCGCAATGGCCGTACGCACGTCCGACTCTCGCGATCCTGCAGGCCCCTATACACAGATTGAGAAGACTTTTAGAAGTCAGTTGAAGATACATGGCAGTAATTTGTTAGTAGGAATCAGCATGACTTTAGCGCTTACCTCTTCGCACTACTATCTTGGAAGCAAATAAAAATGATTGAAAAAATTCAACATTGTCACATTTAAAAAGACAAAAACAAAGCAAGAACTTTTGAGATTCGAGCAGAGAATCATGAACAACAGCAAAAGTGGCACTATCCTACCTCATTGTTTTGAATGAATTCCACTAGTACATTGAGTGCCTTCTCGTAATCTTTCAAGACATGATATGCTGTGACGTAAGCAACCAAGACACTTTCTGCGTTGGCCGAAGTCGCAGCAAATGATGACGAGATTCCTAAGTGATTACAATGAAAGTCTCCTGGACTGAGCAAGAAGAACCAGCTTTGCGCCCTTCACAGCCCCTCATTTGTATCTGGAGTAATGAGAGATCTCTCAAAATCTGCATGTTGTCTTTGTCAAGAATTAAAGCTAGCTTGTATGCCTAAACCGGACAGATATCCATAAAATCAATAAAACAGAAAAAAGGGAATAGCTTGATTGCCTCGTCGTAGTTTTTGTCTGACCTTTGAACAAGCCCGTATACATGCCAGCAAACATAAGATTTCAAATCAGCCCAAATACAGGAATGATGAGTGAAACACTATACAAGGAACTAAAAAGGACTCCTTACCTTCAAACCTCTTTTCACACATTCCTGTGCTTCTTGTTGCTTACCCATGTTAAGAATGAGCCCCTTTATTGCTAAGGTTTCTGTAATGCGTATCATGCGAGCATAAAATCAAAGTCAAAAAAAGGATCCACCTCCATGTTCAGCGAAATTCGGATTACTCAAAATTGTCCTCGCATACTTTAGTCCAAAGCGATATTTCTTTTGTTCGTATGATTTCTGCAATCAGAAGCAAAAGACTCGCATGGGAAAAAAATTTAGTGAGGCTATTACTTAGAAATAGCTCATAAAATACTCACTATCATTTTTTGAACAGGCCCAACTCCTTTGATGGCAAAGGCTGACTACTTCACTGACCCGGGGGAGTCATCCCTAAAAACCGAAACAAATGCTCGATAATGACATGTAAGTGAAATCGCTATCTGCGGTGGAAAAGCACAGACACTTTTGAATAAAATAAAAATCTAGCACGAAAATAGATATTAGGTAAAAGTACACATCAAGATTTTGAAAAGAAAAAGTCTAAACGCAACCTTCATTGCGAGAAATGCAGGAAAATATGACGAATAGTTCGCCGAATAGTTCGAATAGTTAGCCTTTAAGAACGTCTCAAAATCCCACAGCGTGGCTACGCGCCAAATCGATACGCAGCCTGCTCCGGGGCCCTCCCATTTCTGCTCCGGATACCTCCCATTTTCTGCTCCGGATACCTCCCATTTTCTGCTCCGGAGGCTTCCCATTTCTGCTCCGGACCCCTCAGATTTTCTCCGACGCGGCTCTTCCAAATCTGGCGGACTCGCGCCGGGCAAATTTCTCCGGCGCGAGTCCGCCAAATCTGGCAGAGTCGCGCCGGAGAAATGGCGTACCTCTGCAGCAGGGCCGGAGAAGCGTCCCATTTTCCTGCCAGTGATGTCACCGCGACGGACCGCCCATTTGCCCCGCTCTCATTGGTCAACTGGGTCCGGCGCGACTCTGGCAGATTCGGACTGTCCGGCGGAGGGGCCCGGTCGATTGTCTGAGCTTGTGCAAATCCCATACGATGAATGCGAGTGTTGCTGGTCGATAAAGTAATCGTCATATTTGTCTGTTGAAATGAAGAGAGCAGCAGAAGCTAGTCACAATTCCGTCGTTTCTCTGCGCTAAGCGCTTCTTTCGCATTTTGGCTTCTTGCAAACTATTTTTATTCCACAGTGCAATACTGCTCAGTATTTGTGACATACACACGTGATGTAGGGTCGATGACACTCAATCAAGTAAGTATCATAAAGCTTCGACTCGTCGCCTCTTCGTCGTGATAGATCCTAAATGTTTCATTATTTTATTTTGTACTTCTATTAGCGAAATAAAATGATTGAATGGTAATAACCAGCAGATAAATGTGTGAATCAATGTCTGTTTTGTCGTTTGAAAAGAGAACGTGCAGATATAATGAAATATGTAATTCAAGCTGTACAAGCGGTCCAAATGGGTTGGTTACTTAGGAAGCTGCATCTTGCAGAGCTGAATCATGCCACACACTCACACAAGTGAAAGGTGAAAAATGTCTCGTATTTTTGCTGAAGTTTGTTCAAACTTGGGAATTCTACATAGTATTCGTTTCATTGTACCGTGCAGTTCATGACGATTTCCGATCACTGGCTTAATATTTTGACTCGTCGTCGTCCTGGAGGTCTAGAAATTGCTCATGAAGCAGACATGTTACATCTTCTTTGAACTCAGCTACTTTTGGTCATGTTATAGATCAAATTCGCAAAAATTCAAACACCAGGCAAACCCATCCTTTCTCACCATTGTACGAAGCATACGTACTAAAAGGAATTATCAGAAGACCGGAAATGAATGCGGAAGCTGAAAAGTGAGCAGTTTTTTTTAGAGAACAAGTAGAATAGAACGCTCATCTATTGCCTATAGCTCACATAATTCTACGACAAGAAAGAAGGAGGCGGTAATGGACAAACACCCATTTTGTTATTCATTTCTATTATGTTGTCCCAAAAGTAAACTCCATTTTTAGATAACTTGAGCCATTTTGTTTTGCTGACAGATTAAGAATATTTTTCGATAGAGCGGAGCAAGCTCTACAAAAAGGCCATTAAATCCACAGTTAGTCGTAACCCAGGTAAAACTTGGATCCAAAAATCAAAATTTTTCATTACCCAAAAAATCGGATCTTCTTTCATAAAATCCTACGAACTTCCGAATTGGTCTTTATATACTAGACACAAGTGTTACCCAAAAGTAATATTGAGAAACAAAGACGATTTGGAAATGCCAAATTGCTGAATTTTTCGGTTTTTTAGTGCAAAATTAGGTATTTCTCGATCATAAAAGCTCATGCAGTGGTGAGATTTTGAATTTATACGTAGTAAGGCTTGTAGTGTACAATGACATATGTGGGAGAAGCTGGAGGATGAGTTTGCCATTTTTGGACTATCTTATTTTTCTTGCTTTCTATGCGCGAAGAAAATCCGGTAAAGGCATACTTGAGTACAAATATGTGTCCACCGTATTAAAGGCAGCGTCCAGGCAAGATCCATCCACCCAGATTATCACATAGTTGTAAAGAGGGGCCCATGAGTATCCGATTTGCGTTGGTCCAATCCTTTGACGTGCCCTCTAAAAGGAGATACGGGCCTGACTGCATCCGTACAGTTGCAGCTGCTCCCGCTGGCATGACGATGGGGACGAGCAATTCGAAACTCGTCCTTTTGAAGAGAGGGTCCCCCAGAACCGGGTTTTTTGGGAATATCGAACAATTTCGACTTTACACTGTAATCAGGGCCACGGAAAGGCCTCAGAACAGAAACATGAGAGGCGAAATTTTGCCCGGACGCTGCCTTTAAGGTTAAGATGGAGATCCGTGGAGTTTTTCTTTGCAAAAATCCAATTTTCAGGTGACAAAATCTTTATTTTTTCAATTTTGGTTTCATACTTTACATGGAATGTAACTTACGCTGCTTCTTGGAAGTCATTTTGTAGAGCTTGATCTACTCTACCAAATAATACACTAAGTATACTAGGAAAACAAGTGTTTGATTATTTAAAAAAGAAGTTTACTATTGAGACAGCCTAATAGTGTTATATTTTGCTGAAAAAAAAGGGACGAGTGTTTATTGAACTTCTGCCAAACTTATGGTGTCAAAACTACTTGACTACGTATTAGGTTGTCCGGAAATTGATGCAGGTTTTGATTTCCAACCGCAATAAGTCATGCATTTCTCATTTATGAATAGGTTGCAAGGCACTGTTCAATAGAGCAAAGCAAGCTCTACAAGCTGTCTATTTTGCTTTAGCAACAGCTCTAAACCACCACGAGTTTCGAGCCAAAAAATAAAAAGATTCAACTGCCCGAAAAATTGAGAAAAAATTCTAACTCATTTCGTAAAAATCCTACAAAAATTCTAACTTGCTCACGTAAACACAATCCACATAAGACATCTATATACGCCGTTGCCGTATTTTTTCTCTGTTAGAAATCAAGAAAACGGAAATTTTCGTCCTTCTGCTAAAGTGGTGCTGCGCCGTTCGCACATAGGTAGTTGTATACTACAAATCTTTAGAGGTACAAACGTAAATTTTCAGCTCTCTACAAGCTTTAGTTCGCGAGAAATTTGAATTTTAGCTTGGACCACATGACTAGGGAAAACTGTGTTCGGTATTTCTCGAGAAGTAAAGCTTGTAGAGAGCTGAAAATTTACGTTTGTACTTGTACAGGCTTGTAGAATACAATTACTTATGTGGGAACGGCACAGCACCACTTTGGCAAATGCACGAAAATCTCCGTTTTCTTGATTTTCAACAGAGAAAAAATACAGCAACGGCGTATATAGATGCTCTATGTGGATTATGTTTACGTGAGCAAGTTAGAATTTTTATAGGATTTTTATGAATTGAGTTACGATTTTTCTCAATTTTTCGGACACTAGAATGTTTTTAGTTTTTGGCGCGAAACTCGTTGTGGATCAGAGCTATTGCTAAAGCAAGATGCCATCTGGTAGAGCTTGCTTTGTTCTATCGAACGGTACCTTGCAATCTATTCAAAAATGAGAAATGTATGACTTATTGCGGTTGGAAATCAAAGCCTGCATTAATTTCCGGACAACCTAATATATTAGATACTTCTCCATCTGTCTTCTAGAATAAGCCTATTTGTCCGTTTTTGTCACTTGGTTTTGTTCGCCTTACTATTTTTTGGCCATAGATTTCGTATAGTAGTGGCATAGAGAATAGGCTCATTTCTTGAGGACACGGATTGAGTCTGAACATGGCTAAGGCTAGCTGTCATAGAAAACGTATGATGGTCTGGTGCTTCTGGAAATGCTCTAGGCCGATTTCGCTTTGCTCTGAGTGAAGCACAAGCGTCAAAATATTATAGTCTCTTTGAAAAATGTGACTTACGAGAAGATGTTCAGAACTTAGCCCAGCCATTTCAAACAAGGAGTATATCCTAAAACTCGCCTTCAAGCACTGATTACAAAATTATTCTATTATGTGCCGATGACTATTTGGAAGGAGATGTGGCCGTTTAAACATGAGAAATCATTCAAACGAGTTCCAAGGAACATAGTTCGTTGAAAGGCTACCTGAGTTCGAGGAACAGTGGCTATGGGTATCCTAATTGGAAGGACGCACGCATACGCCAGAAACTTAAATGACCGCTTTTTAACCGTATTTCGTGGGAGATGCTTTAAAGAATACTTGACAAATCCACATTCAAGCAGGCATAACTATTTCTAGATAGTCGTTTGGCATGTAACAAATATATCTTTGACATCAGCGTTACAAGGCGAGTCTGATGATATATAGCTTGTTTGGTATGGCTATGTTAATTTCTGGCCATTTCCCGCTTAGTGTTCTACAACGGTTACGTTGAAGGCAGGTGGTACCTTACAAAAACCACTGGCTGTATATGCCGTTAATACTTCATTTGATAACCATATCATAACTCTAGATTTGCAAACGAATGGATTTTTTGTTATATGATGCAATGCCTGTGATAATAATAGTCCGTAGCGGAAAGCAGAAAGCAAATACAGACACAAACATAAACATATGGCGCACAAAGGCCGCAATCCAAAAAAAAAACTGAAACAGTAAACGTTCAGATTCAGTCGCAGTTGAGTACATAGAAGATTTCAATCGTTTTCTGATCATTAAAAAACTAGCATTGCTGGCTTACGTAATTTAAGGCATTGTTTGCATGCATGTGCATTGCCTAGCAGAACTGCAGGCAGTGAACTTTGTTCCAAAACAAACACGAAGCAACATTGTATAATTTGCATGCAATAAAGTTTGGAGAGGTTCCATCCGGTCAGTCGAGAGGCTATGTGGAACTGTTCCTTGCTGGCGAACAAAGGGCATA